AAACAGATGAAAGTACAAATGTAAGTATATAACTACATTGAGAGAGAATAATGTAATATACATATATATTTAATGCACACAGGATTCTGATCTTACTCGGAGGAAAATCCATCTTACTGAAAATGATATGAAAGAAATAGCAGAAGAGTCCCTTTTTAGGAAATTTGGAAGAAAATTTGTTAATGTATTTACAAAAGTAATTTCCTCACCACTAAAGTGGTTTATGAAATTATAATTAAAAGACATTAGCCTTAACTTGTTATAGGATTGCTTAGTATTTTTTGAGGATTCAATTTTAGTCTACTTGTTATTAGGCAATAGCCTATTGTGTTTCTTTTCAATTTATTACCTTAATTAATGCAATCTTAATAATCTTTTACACTTGTTTACAAATTGATTCTCCTGGTGGCATAATAGCAAAAGATATCGATCATGAAAAATAGGCCATACAGAATGTTTGGCTTTGAATCCTATGCGGCTGTTGACACTGCAATTAGTTATGATAGTTATGCTGTGGGCACTAGAATCAGATAGGTTAGCACTTGTGACTAGCTAACAAGATTATAGTATGGCTATGTTGCCTGAGAGATACACTACAACAGTTGAGTCAGTGCAGGTAAGATCAACCTGTCATCATTTAGATAATTATAAAGAGTTGAGGCTACTAGTGACAGGAAAGACAGGAGAAGGAAAGTCCACGCTAGTCAATGGAATCCTGGGAAAAGTAGTTGCTAAAGAGGGAGCTAGTAGGGAAAGATGCACAACCAAAGTTGAAGAGTATCACAAAAAAATCCATGGTGTACCAGTCACTGTGTTTGATTCTCCTGGCCTACAAGATGCAACAGGGAATGAAGATCAATACCTAAACGACATGAGGAAAAAATGTCAAAACCTCAGTTTAGTTCTTTGTTGCACAAAAATGACCAACAACCGTTTGAAAGATGATGACAAAAATGCAATCATAAAGCTAACTACTACATTTGGACAAAGGTTCTGGGAACATGCTATTCTTGTTCTTACGTTCGCCAACACAGAAAATGTCTCAAGACGTGATGACAGAGATGAAGATGAAGGACCCGAGCCTGACTATGATGATGATGCTGCCTGGAAAGAGCTGGGAAAGAAAAGGTTCAAAGGTCGTGTGAAGAAATGGAAAGATGGTTTTCACAAGTTTCTCATAGATGAGGTTGGAATAAGGGAAGATATAGTTGAAAGGATTCCTGTAGTACCTGCTGGA